AAAAAATAAAAATAAAAAAATAAAAATAGTGCTCACTTCGGCAGCACATATACTAAAAAAATAAAAATAAATCCTATATATCTTCTCTAATTTATTTTGAATATCAGAACTATTTTTTTCTCAATTTAAATTCTATGGGCTAAAGGAGCAATGTTAGTTTGAATGTAAGCTTTGTTGACTTTTGTTCTATGTTCAAAGTACTGAGCACTACTTGATCTACTGCTTTCCTGTGTGAATGATTACTAAGAATTATGAACTGGAAAAATGACTTATCCCCCAAAGCCTGATTTGTCTCATGTAAACATAATGTATGGCACATTTGCAAAAATATATCCTATAAAATCTGAAAAAAAATTATTACATACATGTACCAACTCCCCACAATTAATGTAATCATTATGTACTACAGGTACGTACTAATAAAAAACAAAGATCTAAATGTTAAAGCAGAAACAATTAATCTACTAGAAGCTAAAATAGGTGAAATTCTTTTTTTTTTGGTACTGGGGATCGAACTTGGGACCTTGGGCTTGCAAGGGAGGTGTCGGAACCACTGAGCTAAATACCTGGCCCAAGGTGAAACTCTTGAAGACATAATCATAGGCAGGGACTTTCTGAACAGGACCCAAATTGCACAAGAAACAAAATCAAATATTAACAAATGGGATCATATGAAATGGAAAACCTTCTGCTCAGCAACAACCAATTCAGTGAAGAGACAACCTACAGAATGAGAAAAACAATTTGCCAGCTATTTCTTACACAGAAGAATAAAATCTAAAATATGTAAAGGTCTGAAAAAAATAGACCTCCTAAAATAAAAACCCCAATCAAAAAAGGTGTACTGAAATGATGAGACACTTACTAGAAGTCCAAATAACCAATAAATATATTAAAAAATGCTCAACATCTCTGGGCATCAGAGAAATGCAAATTAAAACAACACTGAGGTTCTATCTTACTCCAGAAACAATGACCATCACCAAATAATCAAATAATAACAAATGCTGGAGAAGCTAGGGGGAAAGGAACCCTTGTACATTCTTTTTTTTTTTTTTTTTTTGGTACCGGGGATCAAACTCAGGACCTTGTGCTTTCAAGGCAGGCAGCGGAACCATTGACCTAAATCTCCAGCCCCCCTTCTACGTTCTTGATGGAAATGTTAACTAGTATAGCCACTATGGAAACCAGGATAGAAATTAATCAAAAAACTAAAACTAAAAATCCCATTCTTCCCAGCTATTTCTCCTCTGAGTACCTTTCCAAAAGTGTTAAAGAAATCATATTACAGTGATATATGCACGCCTATGTTTATGGCAGCACAATTCATAATAGCTAAATTTTGGAAGTGGCCCATATGTCTATCAACAGATGAATGAATAAAGAAAATGTTTTATTTAAACACCATGGACCACTACTCTGCCATAAAGAAATTTGACTTTGAGTCATTCATAGAAAAATGGATCTACCTAGGGTATTTTGGGTTTTGTTGTTTTTTTTGACAAGGTCTCACTATATAGTTCAAACTGGCTGTGAATTTACTATGTAGCCCAGGCTGGCCTTGAACTGAGGCAATCTTCCTGCCTCAGCCTCCAGAGTGCTAGGATTAAAGGCATGTGCCACCACACCCAGCTTGGATTCACCTTGAAACCATGTTATGTGAAATAAACCAGACATGCAGTCTTTAATATCACATGATTTCTCTTATGTGAGGTACCCGAAATATAAATAAAGAGCAACATAAAGATAAAGGAGTGGGCTGGGGATTTAGCTCAGTGGTGCTGCCGCCTGCCTCACAAGCGCAAGGTCCTGAGTTCGATTCCCAGTACCAAAAAAAGGGGGGGGGAGTGGATGAAAATGAATTAAGATGTGTTATGTACATGTACCAATTGCATTATGTACTGCAAACATGTACTAATAAAAATTTTAAGAAAAAAAGAAAATCAATTCAGCACAGCTGTAATCCCAGCACTCTAGGAGGTTAACGCAAGTGGTCACAAGTTCAAGCCAGCCTGGGAAAATAAGCAAGACCCTGTCTCAAAATAAAAATTAGAAAAGGGCTGTATATATAACCCATTGTGAAGGCCCTGGGCTCAGCCTCCAGTGCTGCAAGAAAAGAGAAAAAAGAAAACTTAATTGACCATATGTTCATGAGTTTACTTCTGTATAATCTTATCTGTTCCATTGATCAGTTTATTTGTCTCTTGGTTTTGATTATTGTTGCTGGTACTTTGGGTTCTCATTTTTTAAACAAGTGCCACCAAGCTATTTAGCTTTCATTGTTTATAATAATTATGTCAATAATTTATTTTAACTAAATAAAAATTAGAATATGCAGACAAGTCACTTTTTTCACTATGATTCTTATATTCAAAATATAGTAGGCGATGTGTTTCAAAAGGAAAAAATAGGCTGAGGATGTAGCTCAGAGATAGAGCACTTACCTAGAATGCACAAAGCCTGGGTTTAAACCCCAGCACATCACAAAGAAAAAATAAGATGGTATAACAAAAGTCAAGAGTGCGTAAAGAAGAGATGTTGCCACATACATTACTGGGTAAGCCTATAAGTGCAACAGGAAGAAGGTCAATACATATAATAATAGTTACTTACATGGTACTTTGAGAGCTATGTTAAGAATTCAATAATCAGTATTGCTTTCACAACTTTTCTGTGAAAGATATGTAACTGTCAACATAATTTTACAGATGCGGACTAGGGCTGACAGGAACAGTAGCTAATAGACATTCAGTCATAATCCCACAGATGGTAGCTTTGCTCCATTGCTTCTCAGTCAAGCTCATACACCAAATATCTGAACCTGTAGAACAGTGGCTAATAAATTAACCACTCAGAAACTAAATTTGGTTGTAGAGTCATTTTCATTTTTATTTTTGTGATAAAATTCTGCTGTGATGAGATACTCTATTTTAAATATTCTAATTTTCATTGATACTTTCCAAACTGTTAGGAGGACTATGATGAATGTTTAGTCTAGTAATACTGACTTTTAGTGTATTCTGCACTGCTCTAGTGTCACTGTATAACAAATAAGGCCGGACCATCTAATTCAATAACAATATAATCTAAACTCCATTGTACCTTAAAAGTAATATATTCAAATTCCATTTCTTCTTTTTTTGACATGATGGATATGCATTGGTAATAAAAAATAAAGTGTTTCAGTACAGCAATAAAGGTACTACTCAAGACACTTCAAGTTATATCTGTATCATTATCCTTTGCAGTAGCAAGTAGCAAGGTGAATCAACAACAGTTCCATATTTGGTCTCTTGTCACAACTACGCCATTCTGTTGTTACAGTAAAAAGCACCCACAAACAATATATTGTATTGACAAACTAATGAGTGTGGCTATTCTAATAAAACTTTACTTAATAGACATAGAAATTTGAATTTCATATAATTTTCATGTTGACCAAAATTTAAAAAGACCATTTTTAGGATGAACACAGGCACCTGATGTAGTCTTCAAAATACTTATTAACATGAGCTGCATCTTCAACTACAGTATATTTGAAATATTATTGATGCTTAAGAAATGTTCAATAATACTGCATTCATTCTTGAGCACTGATGATTTTTCTAGGTTTTTTTTTTTGGTACCGGGGATCAAACTCAGGACCTTGAGCTTGCAAGGCAGGCACAGTGCCACTGAGCTAAACTCTCAGCCCTCTAGGCATCTTCACATCAATTTTCAACTGCATAAATAATAACTGCCTTGCTATAAAAAAGCCTCCTAACCTATTCTCTGAGAAAATACATTTTATTTCAGTAGATTGCATAATAAAAAAGTATAAATATATATTTACATATTTATAAAATATTCATCAATAAATATACAACCACCCTATCAAAGTTCCATGTTCAGATGTTTTGGTAGTTGTTGTTTTATACTTATAAAATATTCATCTATAAATATACAACCAGAGAGAGAAGAGGGAGAGAGAAAAAATACATGTATACAATCACAATATCAAGATTCCATGTTCAGACATTTTGGTAGTTGTTGATTTGTTTTGTTTGCTTTTTTTTGGACAAGGTCTTGCTGTATAGTCCAGGCAGGACTTGAACTTGCTATATAGCCCAAGCTAGCCTCAAATTCATTGGGATTTTCCTGCCTCAGCCTCCTGAGTGCTGGAATTACAGCCATGTACCATCATGCCTGGCTTCACATGTTTTTGAACTCAATTTCTTTTTCTTTTTTGTAAAGAAAAATTAACAGGACAAACAAAATATATTTAGCTTCCCATTAGAAATTTAATAATCTTTATTGCCAAATGGATCAGTGCCTCTTCTTTTATCCCACTGTCAGAAGTAATTTTGTAACAAAATTCCAGTCACCAGCATTTGACTTCACTAATTTCCAGAGAATAACTTACTTTAATGTGATGTACGCCATTCACTTTTCCGATCTGCTGTTCAATGGTCCAAACACAGGAATTACATGTCATTCCCTCAATAGAGATGATAACAGAATTCACACCAATACCTGCATCCATTTTCATTTCTTCTTTACATTCCTGTTAGAAACAATAAGTCCATTAATTTCAGCCATGGAAATAATCTTTTCTCAAATCTGCCCCTACCTCCCAAGTGAAAATGTGCTAGTAATAAATGTCAGCATTCTTTTCTACTTGCTTATGAAAAAGTTTCCTCACTTTTGATGAGATAAAGGAAAGTGGTTTCTATGGCTAAGGTAACTAAAACTAAAAATGTACAATACTCAAATAATAAAAGTAACTAGGTTTCAGAGTGATTTCCTGCTTACTAAACATTTTTCCATACATAATCCAATTTAATATTAGAAGTAGAGAGAATGAAGAACCAATAATGCCAAAAATAACACAATAGCCAATAAGGTCCTATGTCATTTCCCATACATGCCTTTCTAACCTCTCTAACCTTTTTCATGTATTTATTTGCTGTTTCTACTTCTTCATCTGAGAAGTGTCTATTCATTCCATATGCCCATTTTTGCATTGGGTCTTTAAATTTGGGGTCATCTGATTTTCTTTTTTTTTGGTACTGGGGATAGAACTCACAACTTTGCACTTGCAAAACAGGCATGGTGCTAGAGCTAAATCCCCGGCCCGGGGAGGGGGGGTCTGATTTTTTTGAGTTCTTTATATATTCTACATAATAGTCCTTTGAGGAATGGCTGCCAAAAATTTTTTCCCACACTGTTGGTTGTCTTTTCACTCTGTTGGTGGTTTCTCTTGCTGTGCAAAAGCTTTTTAATAAGATGAGATCCTAGTTGTTCTTTGAGATATTCCCTGTTCGATTGGGGATTTATTCATAAAGTCTGTGTCTAAACTAATGTCTTCAAGCATTCTATCTATTCTGTCTTCCAGCGGATGTAGTGTTTCTGTTTTAATATTTAGATCTTTGATCCATTTTGATTTTAGTTTAGTGCATGGTGAAAGATATGGGTCTAGCTTTAATCTTCAGCATGTGGAAAGCCAGTTTTTTGTTTTTTTGTTTTTTTCAGTACCAAAGATCAAACTCAGGACCTTGCACTTGTGAGGCAGGTGTGGCACCACTGAGCTAACTCCTGGGCCCATCTGTTGGCTCCTTTGTCAAAGATAAGGTAGCTGAGTATGTCTGGAGTTGTTTCTGCATCTTCTAATATGTTCCAATGATCCTCAGGTCTGTTTTGTTTTGTTTTCTTTGCCAGTACCGTGCTGTTTTTATTGCTGTTGCTTTGTAGTATAATTTCAAGTCAGAGATTGTGATGCTCCCTGCCTTGCCTTTGTTGCCCAGAATCACCTTGCTATTCTAGGTGTCTTCTGGTTCCAAATGAATTTTAGGATTGTTTTTTCTAATTCTGTGAGATATGCTGTTGGAATTTTGATCGAGATTGTATTAAATCTGTATAACAATTTTGACAGTATGGCCATTTTCACTATATTAGTTCTTCCTACCCAAGAACAAGGGTTATCTTTCCATTTTCTGATATCCTCTTCAATCTCCATTTTCAGAGTACTGTAGTTTTCTTTTTTTTCTTTTTTTTTTTTTTTTGGCCCTGGGGATCGAACTCAGGACTTTGGGCTTGCGAGGCAAGTGCCAGAACCACTGAGCTAAATCCCCAACCCAGTACTATAGTTTTCAATGCAAAATTCTTTTACTTCTTTTGTTAGATTGATTCCCAAGTATTTCATCTTTTTGGATGCTATTGTGAAAGGTGTTTCCCTAATTCCTCTTTCAGTGAGTTTGTTATTTGTGTACAGGAAGGCACTGACTTTTGAGTGTTGACTTTATATCCAGCTATGCTACTGAATTTGGTTATTAAATCTAGAGGTCTTTTGGTAGAGCTTTTGGGATCTTCTATGTAGAGTATAGTATCATGCCATCTGCAAATAATGATAATTTAACTTCTTCCTTTCCTATCTTTATTCCTTTTATTTCTTTCTCTTGTCTCATTGCTCTGACTAAAGTTTCCAGAACTATATTGAATAAGAATGTTGACAGTGGACATCCTTGTCTTGTTCCTGATTTTTTTTTTTTTTGTACCGGGGATTGAACTCGGGTCCTTTGTGCTTGCAAGGCAGGCGGCGGAACCACTGAGCTAAATCCCTGGCCTTGTTCCTGATTCTTAAAACAGCTTTATTGAGACATAATTCACATATCTTATAATTTACATATTTAAAGTGTAGAATTCAATAGTCATTAGTACATGCACAGAATGTACAACCATCATCACAGTCATTTTACAACATTTTCATCACTTCAAAAAGAAGTCCCAGGCCGGGGATTTAGCTCAGTGGTTCCACTGCCTACCTCTCAAGTGCAAGGTCCCAAGTTTGATCCCCGGTACAAAAAAAAAGTCCCAATCTCTTCATTACTACTCACCACCTCCTAGAACCACCATCCCATCCTAGACAACTACTAAACTAGTTTCTGTCTATACACATTTCCTCTTACAGATATTTCATATGACAGAAATTATATAATATGTAGTCTTTTGTGACTGGCTTCTTTGATGTAGCATGTTTTAACATTTATCCATGTTGTAGTTTGTATCAATACACCATTTTTATGGCTTATTATTATTCCATTGTATGTACATATCCCTTTATGTTTATCCATTTGCCAGCTGATGGACATTTGGGCTATATCTGGCTATTACAGATAATAATGCTATAAACATTTATTTCTCTTAGGTAATATTTAAGAGTGTACTTGCCGGCCCTGGGATTTAGCTCAGTGGTGCCACCGCCTGCCTTGCAAGCGCAAGGTCCCGAGTTCCATCCCCAGAGTGTACTTGCTGGGTCATATAATAAACTCTATGTTTAATTGCCAGACTGTTTTCCAAAGCAGCTGCACCATTTTACATTCCCACTAGCAATGTATGAGTAGTCCAATTTCTCTACCTCCTCACAAACCCTTGCTATTATCTGACTTTTTTATTCTAGCCATCCTGGTGGTATGAAGCAGTATCTCATTTGATTTCTAGTTCCCTAATTACTAGTGATATCAAGCATCTTTTCTTGTGTTTATTGGCTATTTGTATTTCTTTGAAATTTTGGGGTTGGGGGGGGATGGGGATAGAACACCAAGGCATGTGCTTTACCACTGAGCTATAGCCTCAGCACCCACAGATATTTATTTAAGACTTTTACCCATTCTTTAATAGAGCTGTCTGTTTTTTGAGTTGAGTTTTTTATATATTCTGCATATTAACCCCTTATCAAATACATGACTTTCAAAAATTTTCACCTATTTTATGGGTTGTCTTTTCCACTATCTTGATAGGTCTTCTGACATACAAAAATTTTTAAATTCTGATTTAAGTCCAATTTAACTATTTTCTTCTTTTATTGCCTCCATTCATCTTTTAAATACAAAAACCTTTAACAAGTTCACAACAGAGCTATAATTCATGTCTCACTGCCAGGCAGCTCTGAACCACCAGTGGTACATGGATGACTGTCCCATCAGCCACCCAATGGGACAGTTGTACATGTACCACAGGTGGTTCAAGCTGGTGGGAACGTGTCAAAGGACTGAAAGAAAAATTCATCCCTAGGCCTTCCTCTCTTGGTTTTAATTTCAACTAGCACTAATTCTGGAACATTTATAATTTACAATGTGACTAGATCTGAAATGGACTCATGAGTATTTAGGTGATTGACTTTTAAAGTTATAGCTATTCCAAATGTAACAGTTAACAATTCAGTTATGTCCACTGATTCTTAAGAAATTAAAGTACTGCACTGGTGCAAAGGGTGTCAGGAGCAACTTCCTGCAAATCTTCCCCGGCCTCTGGAGGGACCACCATTGCCACAGCTTTGGATTCCACGACCTGCATTCCCGCTAAATGGCCATGGCGACCGCCCTTGTGCTTGGCTCTGTTCATATTCATTCCCAGGCCCTGCCGCAGTTTAAACGGCGGTAGCGGCGCCAGTGTCTGAAGGATGGTTTGGCCAAGGGGGTGACAACGTCTGCTGGGAGGGGCGGCAGCTGGGCCCCCAGGTGTGTAGAGCCCAGCCTACTGGGTGTCCCCCCAGCGCCGAGGCGAAGCTTGTACCTCCGGGTCTTGCTCTGGCTTCTGAGCAGTTAAGGACCGGTTAGGCGACAGCTCCTGCCTCTCTGAGAAGACCGCGAAGGTGGTTCCCAGGCACTCAAATTTCCGGATCACCTTGCTGTCCCCTCCCCAACCTGGGCAGTGGTGTTCCCAGAGTCCTTAGCCTCCCCAACTTTCCTCTCAAACTCTCCCTAAATCTGTTACAGAATCGAGTGTTCCGCCCTCTGGAGCTCCCTTCTATCTTCCTCATTTTCTCTACCCTCCTCTACGAATGTTCTAGGGATCACTCACAGAGGCGGCCTTTGTTTGTTTGTTTGTTAAATTCTTTTATTGGTACATTTTAGGTATACAACATAATTACATTTCTCATTGGGAACTGTACCTTTACATAATGCATCTTGGTTCTTATTTTTTTCCCCATTCCTAGCCCTCCCTTCACCCCTTCCACCCTTCCCTATTTACAAAGACTTTATTTCCATTTTTTCCATTTCTCATAATTTTTTCCTTTCCCTTCTTTCCTTTCCCCT